GAATTCCCCAACCAATAATAGTTGGTTGGGGAATTCTGGGAGTTGAAGTCCACATATCTTAAAGATGCCAAGGTTGAGAAGCACTGATTTAGACAGTAGAACAAGCAAGGCTTACAAAGTCTTATATTATCATCAGCACTAGCATCTGCTTTGGAATTTATGTTAAATTGAAAAGCAAGCCACGGGGAGATAACAGGAAGGGATTATTTTGTATATGTAAATAACTGCCCTCCTGAGTATTAAACCAAGGCTAATTTCTGATGCTGCCCTACCAAACAGTTCCCCTTTTCAAATTGGTAGCAATTTCTAAAGACAGCCACAGAATCTTACTGGTTTGATGAGTATCTTCTCTCCCTTAGCTGCAGGCAAATCTACCTTTGTGAATATTCTCAAAAAAGCCCAAAAGGAATGGGAAGTTGTTCCAGAGCCACTGGCAAGATGGTGCAATGTTCAGAACTGCCAAGATGATTGTGAGGTATGAGAAGATATGATTATACGATTTGGGTGAAGAAATAGATTTTTGAGGCAAAACAGTGGAGGGACAAGATAAAACTGCTGCATTCCATATGAGATAAGACCCGTGATGTGGGGAGGCAACTCTTGAATCGCTAGGTACGTTTAGAATTTGGGAACATGTGAATGCGGTCACAAAATGATTGTCAGGAGAAGTGGCACTGTGTGTCATAAGTCACTGCCATGGGGACACGTGGACAGTCACAAAGGTCCAGGTGACTAGAAATAAAACTGACAAAGCTGTTGTTTGCTGCCCTATTCAGCCTTCCAGGATGCTCCATATTTATTTATTTAGAAATGTACACGGCCACCTGTCTTTTGCATGATAATCCTGGGCGGTTCACAACAACATTTCATAAGTCCAGAATATATATAACCCACAAAACCCCACAATGATATAATATATCCCATCACATCACCACAGCATCCCACCAACTCTTTGTTTCCGGTTGCTGGGCTCACTTCCATCCTACCCCAAGGCCTGAGTGAAGAGCCTGGCTTACTAGCCCTGCTTACTTTAATAGCACATTTTTTCTGGGCAGGTGGTCCTATTTTCAAATAAAGCACTGCACTGCAGTTGCTACTTTTTAAATTTCTAAGCATGTTAGGTGGTCTCTACAGAGGCCCATTCTTGGAAATAATTTTAAAAAGCCAGGTGGGTCAAGCAAGATGCACCGTGACTTGGGTTTTGCTGATTAAAATGTTTGCACAGGTCTAGATTAAAGAGGAAACAACTCTGTTTTCCTGAGTTTATTCTAGCCCCATGCTAGAATCCAGGAGACGGTGAGTTCTAATCCCATTTTAGGTATGAAAGCCAGCTGGATTACTTTGGGCCAGTCACTCTCTCTCAGCCCAACCCACCTCACAGGGTTGTTGGGGGGAAACTAGGAGGAGGAAGGAGTATTAGGTATGTTTGCTGCCTTGAGTTATTTGTAAAAGTAATAAAGGCAGGTTTAAAAATAAATACATAAATAAATAAATAAATAAATATGGGCATGATGTCCTTTATGCAAGATTGCTTTATTTGCACTCATTAGAATATTGGTTGTAAAGCACAGTATTTTATTAAAACTGTAGGTATCTATATAGATTTTTTTAAATATTAGATTTGGCATTAAATCAAATGCCAAATCTAATATTTAAACAAAAAATATTTATACAGAAGTTTATCCTGTATAAACTTCACCACTTTTTACAATACTAATGCAGGAAGCTTGTTTTCTTGTAGTGAAAATCATGCATATTGAAATACAGACTTTTTACTGGTGAAACGTTTAAGTGCCTCTATGAGGATCCAAATGGGTTTAGTCTGCTTTCAACTGCAAAATCCCACTTATCTATTCTCAAAGAAAAGCCATTTTTAATGTTCATGTAATTTTCATGAATTTTTAAACAGGAGCTGACAGCCTCTCAAAAGAGTGGTGGCAACTTACTTCAGATGATGTATGAGAAGCCTGGGAGATGGTCCTTTACCTTTCAAGCCTATGCCTGTCTGAGCAGAATCAGGGCTCAGATCCAGTCTTTTGACGGGAAACTAAAAGAAGCTGAGAACGCTGTGGTTTTCTTTGAAAGATCCATTTATAGTGACAGGTACCCATATGCTTCTTGATGATTGTTTTCTTAGTCATCCCTCCTCCCCTCAGTTGTACCTCTCATCATCCTTTCCATTTTTTGAAAAATTGAAAAGCTTTCCTCTTTTTCCATCCCCAGAATAAGTTTCTTGATACCAGAATGGGTTAGAACAGCCTTGCCCAATCTGGGCACCCTCCAGATAGGTGAAGTTCAACTTCCTGCATTCTCAGTAATGGCCATATTGACTGGGGAATTCTGGGAGTTGAATTCTGAAGAGTACATACTTTGGGGAAGGCTGGACTGTAGCTGGACTATAGGGGAGAGACAAATATTGAGGTTACAGCCTTGGTGTTGGCTTCTGTCATGTTATTCATTTACTTCGGAGAAGGCAGCATGCACAATATACACATCTGGCTGTGTGCATACATAAACTACTTTTCAGTAGTTACCCTGGAACATCATGCAACTGCCAGGTCTTAGCTAGGAGCCTGCCTTTATAGGAGTTTATTTATTCTGTCGATTTATATACCCACCTATCTCACAATTGCAAGTGGCAATGAAGGACTGGCAACAGTTATACTGGCTGTGGGAATTTTTTTTTTTTTAGGAACTATATTTGTAATGTAAGCAACACCTTCTTCTCAGTTCCTACGATCAGACACCCCTAGAGACAGCATTCAAACTTAATGTTAATTTTGTAGTGCTTAGATAGGAGAGCGAGATTTGAACATTTTGATTCAAAGGTAATAGCAGCTTCTCAGTTCAGACAAGAATGCTGGATCTTGGAGATGCCACAATATTGTATTGGAATATTGAATTCAGTCTGGCCCCAAAATGTCTTGCTCTCGGTGCACAAAATGTCATTGCCCTTCTTCCAATCATTTTAGTTAGATAAATTCCACATTTCCCGAAGGGTGGGAATGCAAAATGAGAAGCAAGGATAAGACAACTGTAACAAGTATTCAGAAGGAAGGTGGGGCAGTCAGCAAATACTGGAATCTGGTAATCAAAAAGATGTAATATTGAAAAGACTTTTCTCAGTTATGTTGCTTCACTCTTCAGCTAAGCAGTTCTTAAAAGATGCCATACAACTGTTAGCTTCAAGGATGCTTTCTCTCTATCCTTTTTTTTCTCTCTAGCAAATTGCATATATGCATTTTCAGAAAAGTTTCAGAATTAGGGAACATTCATAAAATGTTCCTCATCCAGAACAGCTGTTCCAAACTGAAACACACATCTTTCTGGTGTTTTAGTCCATGGATAGAATTAAAAGGGGCTGTTTGGATCTGTGCATGGAGCAAAACATGGCTGCTTTGATCTAGGCAGAAGGGGTTTGGAGAGTAGAGAAAAAGCCAAAGAGATTGACAACGAAGGGGAGAAAGAGAAGCTGCTGAGCAGAAGAGGGAAGGTGAGCGTGCGGGTAAGAAATACCGCCCTGGAACATCCCTGGAACATCTGCAGTTTCTGAGGGAAGGAGAGAAGTCAGTGGGAAGATCTGGAGGGATATGCTGTGTTGTGACATTGGGGATGAGAGTTAAAAAGAGGGAGAAAAGGTGCTGGGAAGATGAAGGGGCAGTAGGATCTGCTGTTCTGAGAGGACCACGTTGGCCATGCAACCCATTGTATTTGCCTGCCCAGATTTTGTTTTGTCCTAAACACAGAACAATCAAAAGGTTTGGTATTTTGGTTCTGCCAAACCACAGCTGACTTCAAAAGATTCAGTAGAAGCCCAGATGCAATAGTTTTTTCCAGGTCCAAAATATAATGTTTCCTGCATTTTAGGATAATTGAACCTGAATTCTTTTTTTTTCTGGAAAGGTACATCTTTGCATCCAATTTATATGACTCTGACTGTATGAATGAAACAGAGTGGACTATTTATCAAGACTGGCATGATTGGATGAATCAGCAGTTTGGATCCAGCCTTGAACTGGATGGCATCATCTATCTCCGAGCTACTCCTGAAGTAAGAAATGAAGCTTTGTGAATATACTGGACATTAGAACACATCCCTTGCAGTTTTGGCTCTTACCTCTACACTATTCTTAGTTTCTGCAAATTCTTGCATATGTGAAACACTTTTAATAGCTGACATGTTGCCCCTGATTTCATCATTCTCTCTTACAGATCCTAAATGCCTTTGCTTCCTCTGTTGCATTCAGTCTATGTATTCATGAAGAGTTACTCAAATTATTTGCGATGTTAAGTTCAAGAAAGTGGGGTTGCCCCCAATTCTGATTCCTAAAGCTTATAACAACCCTTGTACCTTGGATTCTCCTGAAATCCTAAAACATTATAAAGGGTTTAGGTTTGAGGTAGTCAGCTGCACCAATGAATTCTGGCTGCACCATTAACAAACATTGGTGATGCAGCTTCCCCATTTTGTAACAAGAAACTGTAATGTAAGCCCCAAAACAGGTGGATCATAGTTAAGAACCATTCTACCCTCCTCATTAAAACTAGAAAAAGAAACAGAAAAACTCTGATCTGACCATGTCACTACCCTCCAGCCAAATAATATTTAGTGTGGCCCCTGATAATCTGAAGATTGCTAACTTCTGATTGAGATGGTATCAGTGTTACCATTTCAGTTCTATTAACATCTTCGTGTGACAATCATATCATACTGATTTATCTTGATCAGCATTTATGAGATAGGATAGATTCTTTAGTAGTTTAATACATATGATGGCTTAGAGGCTTTAAGTAAGGAGGAATTTGAAACTCCTCCATCTTCATGAATTCAATAAACAAGTTTGTATCATATTTCCTGTAGAGATGTGGGTTTTCTGAAAAAATCTCCCATGCAAATAAGCTTAGTTTAAATTAACCCATTTGTCTCACTGTCAGAGTTCTGCATAAGTATTTGGGCTACATCATTTACTATAATGTGGAAAAAAATTAAATTCTAGACTATTATGAGTTTTGAAAATTACATTAAAAAACTAAAAGCTTTGATCTGTGGAGAAAAACCATTTTTATTAGAATGTTAAAAACACTGTGCAATAAGCAATAAAATAATATATCATTGTAATGTACTTTTAGCTTCTCAGTTTTAAAAAACAATTATTAGAAAAGTGTCATACAACTTTGAAACTGACAAACTTGCCTATGGTGGAAAATTTTGACCCTGTAAAATGTGCCTGCCCACATCTCTGATTTACTCTCAGCCTTCTCAGAGGGAAGTCAGAATTCAAATATTTTATTGTTCTCCCTTAGCTACTACTCAAGGGGACAAATTTGGAGTGAGAGAATTAACTACATATTAGCTTTAATCTCAAACCGTCTGGCCGTTTCTTGAAATATAAAAGTTGAAATACATGTTTGTAAGAGGATTCCTTTCTCTTTACTTAACGGTGTCCAGTTTTGCATTCTGACTTAAACCAACCTACCTCATAGGACTGGTTGGATAAGAACCATGCGCTTTGGAAATAAATGTGTAAAAATGAATGTTTTGGAAATACTAAATTATATTGCTATGCTAGTAACACCTTGAAAATGATGGCAAGCATTTTTTACAAAAATTCTAGGACAAAGTATTGATATTTAGCTTGAAGTAGATCTTGTTGACTTCAAAGCTGTATCTTGATAGTAGTTTAGAAATGCTGCATTTGGGCAACTGAGAACATGGTTGGATGGCACAAAATCAGTGTTCTCTGGTTTGTAAGAGCAGATGGGGTTCTGTGATGTAGCATGATACTGGAAATTAATTTTAAAAATATTAAAATGCTGATCTTTAAAGTTGTTGCTGTTTCCTGCCAGAAGATGGCATTTTGCTTTATTGCTATTTTGCCTGAAAATTCTGCTCTACTCTCGCTTTTTTCCTTTTAGAAATGCTTGAATAGGATTTACATCCGTGGAAGGGATGAAGAACAAAGCATTCCCATAGAATACCTGGAGAAGCTTCATCACAAACATGAAAGCTGGCTCCAGCACAGGACGTTACGGTATTTTTTTCCCCCTGATTGTTTCTACTACATCTGTCTGCTGATGTTCTTGCAAAGGTGTTTTCCTTTGAGAGATCAACCAACTTTTCTCTTAAACCTTCTGTATAGATGACATTGGGCCCTAAGCATATAGTGAGGCCCAATTGGAAATGGTCTCTGCCCTGGTGAATTGGAATTTTTTTAATCCCTAGATCAGTGTTGTCCAAACTTGGCCACTTTAAGATGAGTGGACTTCAACTCCACACTACTACTAC